CTCCAATAAAAGCGAAGCCCTTTGAATTTATTTTTCCCATTGAAAAACCGAGATCAGATTTTCATAAAATCCTATTATTTTAAAGAATTCTATTTCTGTCACTCGTACGCAACTGATCGTAAATTAGGCGGAAATACACTAGTTTATTTGCCGTATTGCGTGACTTATCGTAAAAGATGTGAAATTCTAGTGGCTCATTATGTCGGCTGTAGGTTTTTCTGCACTGTTTTGATAATCTAAATCAGTTGAATTATTGTACATATTCAGACCATTCCGATTGAACCGGTGTACTTTTTTATTTTTAATGCAGTTGCAAGCGCCATAAAACGTCTACTAAAACAAACAGGGTGTCCAGCAAAGTCGTAAAGTCGTAAAAAAGTCGTAAATTCGGCGCTCTGGTCGCAAAGGTCGTAAATGGTAGTAAATGCGCCTTGAAGGTAGTAAACATTTGGTAAACGGTCGTAAATTAATCTGCGTAGGGAGTGATGAAGCCAAAACAGGCTTCATTGAACCCTAGCCGTGGTACATGACTCCGTTTTAGCCGGTCGCTATTGTGATATAATATTCGTTCTCCTTTTCCCCGTCCGAGAGTACGTTTCACGCAAAAAGCCAGTTATGGCGGCAGGCGAAAGTGTGCGTGACACCGAGGCTCGATCGGGAAAATCAAGATCTACTTTCGCTTTCAGAAATAAGCCGGTGATAGACTGATAACTAACGCAACATTTGTGACATGCAGGTTGTGCAGTATAGATATAGATATATATAATATATAATATAATATATATATTGATCTGTCTAAACGCTGTGCCGCCACGCAAATAAACTGTAATTAGTTCTCGGACTCGTCTCTGTGCTGTCATTGTCACATGGGGGGGGGGGGAGAAAGTACAAGCGTCGTCTGATTTTTCGATTGTCGGGCTCGCCATCGTGACCGGTCAATGAACCTGTGCGCGCGTGAGCACCGGCGTTTGTTGTTGGGTCGCCAAAGTTCATTCAAAGTCTGAGCGTTGCGAAGTATAGGCCTAGGACTACGGAATGGGATAGGGGATTATTGATTTCTTTAAAAGATGCACTCGGGGGAGGGGGTGGGGGTGCTACAGGCAACACCAGAGGACAAAAACTTTGTATGGGTGATAGTAAGTTATAACAATATTGTAGCTTTCTGTTCAAGGCTGGCAAATTTTCATTGTCTCTGCATCTCTCCCCCCCCCCCCCCCCCCCCCTCAGTTCTTACAACTATCTCACTTCATGGGTCTACTGGGGCCATTCAAGTTATTGAGTTTGAGCAATAATTTGTGCCTTTCATGTTCATAATATTATGAGTCATGACACCCACATTGGTTCTTCACAGTCGAAATTCTTGTTCAAGGCCCTTCCGAACGCTCAAAGCAGGATTCTTTTTTTAATATAATATAATAATGAGAGGAAAATTTATAACTCACTGAAATACTTAGGCTAGTCAAACAGGACCCCAGTTCAACATTGACATATGTTGTGTGTGTGTGTGTGTGTGTGTGTGTGTGTGTGTGTGTGTGTGTGTGTTATGTAACACGCCCCTGGAAAATGGATGACTTTGTTGCATGTTATTTTCGTTCCATATGATATATTATGTAGGCCTAATGATAATATATGTTAATGATGGTGCAAATGAACTCCCTTTTTCGGACTGGTGTGGGATTTGCTGGGTAGTATTTTTTTTTTCCAGGTAGTAAATTTTTTCAGCAAATATTGCTGGACACCCTGAACAAAACAAACAAAAAAACAATTATTTTTTTTGTCGGAGTGTAGATTTAACTCTAGCTGCTTGATTTTTTTTGTGGAAAAAAACAAGACTTACAAAGTATTGTCATCTCTTTATGTTTTGTTTTTTAGATGTGATAAATGAACAAGAATTTTTTTTTCAAATACTGCCTTATGTTTGACCTTTTTTACAGCGTTCTTTTTTTTTTTTTAAATTAAAAGAGGGTTGTGACTTGACATGACATTTTAACACCGATGATGACTTTGACGTACTGCAAAACACTACAATAAAGAAATTGTAATTGGCCATTCTTGTGGAAAATGTCTCAATGTCTTTTTTTTTCGCTTTTGTGTGGTTGGTTGGCAAGAGTGGTTTGTTTCTTTTTTTCCAATGAAACATCTATCCTCCTTATCTCCCCTTCTTCTTTTTTGTGTTTGTTACTCTCTTGTAACACCTCTAATCTTCTGGCGCTCATATGACCTTATGCAGTTGCGAGCACCGTAAAACCTCTTCTAAAAATACTAAACTTTGCTTTTGGTTTTTTTTCCAACTGCTACAGGCACTTGAAGAGGAGGAGACTATGACTCCGGAGCAGCTGGCGATCAAGCACGTGGGCAAACAGGACCCCAAACGCCACCTGGAGGAGGAAGTGAATGTGGTCATGACCAAGAACATTGTGCAGTGCCTGGGGGCCATGCTGCATACTGTCGTCTTTAAATAAAACAGATTTTCTTTTGGGTTTTTTTCTTTTTTTTGGGG